TGCAGCCTCCACCGGTGGCCCCTGGATCCTGAAATTCAATACCACTGTCACACCCAACTACTACCAACTGTCTGAATGTTGCCTGAACACCTCCTTGCCTGCTCCATCCAGCTCCCTCCTGGAACATGGGACGGCCATTTCCTCCTGAAAACTCCTTCTCAACTTCCAACTTGAATGTCATGTCCTCAGTGAAGCCTTCGCAAATCCCTTGATCTGTGACAGTAGCCTCAAGCTTTAAGGTGCATCAGAATACCCTAGAGGGTATTTTAAATCAAAGCATGCTGGTCCTACCTTCAGAGTCTCTATTCAAGAGATCTGGTGGAAGGCAGGGCATAGTGGTGCACACCCATAATCCTAGCTGTTTGGGAGGTGGAGGGTCATGGTTCCAGACCAGCCTGGCGAAAAGTTAGCATGACCCCTATCTCAAAAACATACCTGTCACCCCAGCTACATGGGAGGCAAAGATGGGAGGCTCAAGACTGATCCAGGCAAAAGTGCTAGAAGCTATCTGAAAAACAAACTGGAAAGGCAAAAGGATTGGGGGCATGGCTCAAGTGGTAGAGCACGCCAGCCTAGCAAGCGTGAAGCCCTGAGATCAAACCCCAGTACAGCCAAAGGAAGGAGCGGGACGTGCAAGTGGAACTTGAAAATTTGCGTTTCCAATGAGTCACCCACCAAGTGATGTGGATGCCACACCCAGAGCACCTCTGCCTTGAAAGTACACTGTGCCCTGAGCCCTTAGTGCCTTCACAGTCTATACACCCTCTGTACACTCCCGGTTGAGACTGTGAGCTCCTCAGGGACGTAGCCACATTTTACTCATATCTGTACTTCCTAGTTTCAATATTGTTAATATTCAATATAGGGATACCAAACAGACAGGTGGATGGATTATGGATGGATGGAGGGATGGATGGATGGATGACTCTGAATTTATTGACCCAGCTTTTTCACCCAACTCTAGGACTTTGTAAATGTCCATCCTCATCTCAAAAAGTATCTCGAAAGCCTCATCTGTAAAGGGCTGGGGGTGTAGCTCAGTGGTAGAGCACTTGCCTAGCATGCACATGGATGAGTTCCATTCCCGATTCTCACTGTACAGAAAAAGTAAGAAGATTTCTGAAAGTGAGAGAGTGTCACTGGGATTTTGAATTCTAATCCTGCTTACTAATGTTGTCCTTAAGGGTTTACAATACAGTGTGGTACCTCTCAGAGTCCTGAGCCCTAAACCCTCCCTCCTTACATTCATGCATACCTGTATGCCTGGGTATGCGTACACAGGCACACGTGCACAGGGTAGTTGTATTTATAGAAAGTAGATGAAAATGACAAGAGAAATGCAAGGAGAAAGAAGACTCTCCAAGGGAAGAAGACCTTATCAGAAAGGATGTGAGCTCTAGGCACTCCCAGGCTGCCTGTCATTGAGGTAGAGAGCCCCCAGCACAGAAGAAAGAGGACAGATCTACAGGGGACACAGAAGTAGATACTCGGGAGAAAATGTGAGAATAGGAGAGAAACAAAGGGGAGAACACATCCTCTGGGAGGGGCAGGAGGACAGCAAGAATGACAGTCAATTGCTGAGTTGGCAGCTCAGGGCGGCATCTGGGGGACGGGAAGGTTAGTGCTGGCTCCAGCAGGCCACTCTGCCCTTTCAGCTGCTGCAGCAGCAGCAGTGGTGGCAGCAGGCATGGGGGTGAGCCATGAGTTCTGCCAAGGACACAGTTGGAGGGGATAGAGCAAAGGACAGCAGGAGGACCAAAGTCGAAAGGTCTCTACTGCTGCAGGTGGTGTGAACTAGCTGCCCATGTCCCTGCACACTCCAGTGTCTGCTGAGCTGTTTCTGCATTAGAGCAGCTTGGGTCACCCCGCAGCTCTGCGAAAGAGGGGGAAAGTCAGCATTTCCACTTCAACAGCATCCAGACCTTCTCCCAGGGGAACCACAGATTAGCCTCCTGGATTAAACTCTCCTGCCTCCCTCCCCCACTGCTGAAGCTTTGCTGGGGGAGGATTGCAGAGCTGAGACCTCAGGATGCTGCTGAGCTGTCACATTCAGTTCACCACGCAGCCCCGATGGCATTTAGGGGCAGGATGGATGGGAGCCCACCCCAAGCCCCAAACAGTGGGAGCAGCTAATGACTGGGTATTAATGATGCTGGCAATTAGCACTCACGGGAAAATGGTGGGGGGCTGCTCACCAGAGGAATGTGGGAGGAAACAGAGCACACATTCAGAGCAGCAAGCAAATCAGTGATGTGTGTGGTGCACAGAACCCAGGGAGAGCAGCTGCTTCAGCATTTGTCCAAAGACATTGTGGATGGGGGAAGATGGCTTCTCCAGACATTAAGGATCTTTCTGCTGTGAAATTGGGGTTGATCACAGAGTCTGAGACAGGAAACTCTCAAGAGATGTCATAAAAAGGTGTTTGTGAGAGCTCTAGAACCTTCTTAGCATGAGGAGGCCCCAGATCGGCATAGGCACAGCTACTATCCTTGGCCAGTCCAGTGGTCCTCTGGGAAGAACCTAGTTTCTCATCAGCAGGATGAGAAAGGAAAAGGAACAGAGAGGCATCAGAGCAAGTGTGCTCACCCTCAAGCTCACAGAGAGATGGGGACAAGCAGCAGACATTTCTCAGGAGGCATCGCTCTGTAGGAATAGGAAAGACAGGCACTACTTCCTTACAAGCAAGTCCTTACTGCTTCCTGGACTCACAGAGAGGGCATGTGGAGGCTGAAGACACCTCTGTATGAAAGCCTGTTTGGAAATCTTGGTAGATGGAGGAAAATATGCTGGTGCCAGTCTCAGAAGTCAACAACCAACCCAAAGAGGGTAGCAGGAACAGCTGGGGAGAAGGCTGCTTTCTTAGCAACTATCTGCAGTCTACCCTTCTCTGCTATTGCCAAGACTACGCAAATGTACACACATCCCCACACACGTGCACACCATTCACGATAGTGAGGCTACGGGAGCACGGGGAACAAGACACAGACACAGAGAAGCATTCCAAACTCTATAGCATGAGTAAGACATCTATACACAGGATGTTGAAGACACAGGACAGGAGCTAGCACTGGGAAGTGAAAATAACACCAAGCTATAAACACTTTAAGGGAGCAACAATCACTAATAAATCCTTTCCAGATCACACCCCAAATCAAAGGAGAGTCTCAGCCTCCACCTGGTAGGAAGCAACAGCTCCTGTGACTTCCTGACCACTTAGACCAGAGAAGGAAAAGAGAAGAGACTGGGGAATTGAAGTACCAGCTGCCCGGGTACAGGTTGGTTGATCTTCCTTTCCGAAAGGCAAGGCCAGCTCTCCCAGAGGAAAGACAGAGATCATGGAGTGAAAGCTACTCAGGAGTTGGCACAGAGAAGAGAAGAGCTATCAGATACCTCCCTGCACTGCTTTTCAAGTTCTGCCCAGATAACAACCATGGGTCTGTCACAGGCTGGAATCTGGGAATGAGTAAGAATTAAGAGAGTTAAGGGCTGAGTTGTGTCCCCCACTCCAAATTCCGATGTGGAAGTTTAACCTCTAGTGCCTCAGAACATATCTATATTTGGGGATAGGGTTTTTAAACAGGTAATTAAAGAAGTAAAATCAAAATGAGGCCATTGGGGTGGGCCTGCATCCAATCTGACTGGTGACTTTTTTAAGAAGAGAAAATTCGGACGTAAACAGAGACCGTAGGGCCCATGTGCATAGTGGAGAAAAACCATGTGAAGAGGTAACCAGAGGGCAGCCATATGGAAGTCAAGGAGAGAGGTGTCAGAGGAAACCAACCCTGTCAGCACCTCGATCTTGGACTTGTAACCTGTAAAACTGGGAAAAAAATTAATTTCTGTTTTTTAAGCCTCCCAGCCTGCAGCACTGTGTTCTGTCAACCATGAGAAACTAATGAAGAAGGCAGTGTTACAAGGGGAAGTGAGGTGATGGTCAGGGGGAACCACACACAAACCCAAAGAAAGCCCTTGGTCACAGGTGTGTTAATTATTTCAAATACTTGGTGAAAGTGCCCAACTGACATCGATCAACTTAGGTAAACTGATTGAAATGCCTAAGAGTCATCTTTAAATCCTATAGTCTGAGTATTTTTAAAGCCTGGTCCCTTTAATTGAATTAAGTTGTTCACTTTAAGAATACCTACTACCAAATCTTGTGAAAAAAATAAAAAAAAAAAAAAAACACTTTGCATGTCCACAAATACTCCTCACCAAGCGGACTCATGATATCTTGAAGCAAACCAAAAGATTCTATTATCACACCTCATGTTAAGTTTTTTGGACCCAGAGAACATAATGGATGCTGTACAGGCAAGTAGGATGGTATGTGCTAAGCTCATTTTTGATTCCCTGATTCTTAATTGGAAGTTAAGGAAGGAATGAAAGGCACATATGGAAACACAAATCTTCAGGATCATTTTGGGTCTTCAGAGACAACTGTCATCCGAAATGACAAATCTACCCAAATCCCATCTGCCATTTGAGTGCTCAAGCAAAGAATATAGAGCTCCAGGCAGCATCTCTAAGGCTGGGGTACAAGAGAGCCCTGAACTCCAAATTATGACCCATATAACAAAGCTACAGCAATAGATTAACATATATTAGGTATTAATTTTAGAAAAAAATATACAAAGGCTCACAGTGGACATGCAGACACTAGGACTGGCTGTCCAAATCAACACACCCAAAGGCTACACCGAACTCAATCAAAGAGTGATTTGATGATGGCCAGTTAAGGCCCCTCTCCTTCTGCCGAAGGTTTCCTTCCTTCCTTCCTCTGTCTGGAACCAGAGCTGGCTACACCAACCCAGTGCAGCTCACCCTAAGCCAATGGTTCAGCATAGCCACAGACACCGTGGTTAGCTGAGCTGTGGTAGCCAAATCACAGCAGATCACTGAGACCCATCAACTGTTGCCATCAGAAGAGGTGGAAAAAGGAATGTTCCCCATCCTGACCACCCCAAATCCTCACGGCCCCAACCTTACACAAAAGGACTCACGTCTGTGATTCTCGTTTCTGTGGTTAGGTGGGGACCGGGTCTCCTGGTCTTGGGCTTCATCCCCCTCCTCGCTGGCTAGGTGGGTGTGAGCATAATGATAACTGAGTCCTGGCCGGTTCTTGTAGCGCTTGCCGCAGACTAGAAAAGAAAAGAGAGGAAAGGTGGAGGTGCCCATGTCAGTAACTTCTCCTCGTCTCCAAGGCAGAGACCCCCCCAGCCATCCACCCCAGAGGCAGACTTCCCTTGAAAAGTGCCTCCCATCTCCAACACCCCTTCCTGCCCACGACAGGACCAGCACCACTATGACAACATGACCTGTGTAAAGAAAAGCCGGAAAAGGTGAGCACAGAGGTTAAGGGCTGTGTATGCACTCTACTGCCCCCTAGCTGTGAGAACCTGGCAAGTCACTTAACCACTCTGCCTCAGGGACTTCAGACAAACCGAATAATAGTACTTACCTTATTGGCCCCCACAAAAAGGATTAGAACTGTGCAGGGCAGATGGTGAGGGGGACTATCACCATAACTTTGAATACAAAGGGTACCAGGAGCTCATCCAGTCCAACATCTCAGGACACCAAAGAGGCACATGAGATCCAGCAACACTAAGTGACTTGCCTGGGACACACAGCAGTTGTGGCAGAGCCACCAGAATCCAGGTCTGCTGGATTCCTCTACAGTGCTCTTACCACTGCCCCATGGTTGACTCTGTATGAAGTAGGAAAGTTTCATATGGATATTTTTGATTCATCACCCAGTGTTTTGTCCCAGAAATACATGTTCTACTTCCACCATGAAAACCATTAAGCAAAGGCATCCTTGGCAGATATGCCAACCAAGAGCTTGTGATCTCAGCACCCCAGGCAACTTTGACACTTTAAATCTTGAAAGGTGTTCTCACAAGTACTACCACTCAGCTGAGACAACTTGACACAAAGGTAATATGGATATGGCTTCTTGGAGCCAAGAAGAAAGAGGGCAGCTCCATCAGCTGGCTGCTCGGGACCTGGGGAGCAGAAAGCTGGCTAAATGACCTAAGGCCAGACCATCACCCCACAGGTCCCCCACACTCAGCCCAAATCTCAGCTTCTGGGAGATGGGATTGCAGGTAGCAGAAGCCTCAGGTCTTCACAAAAATGATGTGATCCCAACTGTCCAGTCTTATCCTACCCCAACTCAGCAGAGAAAGTCAGACGGGTTCTGCAGGGGATCGAGGGTGGCGAGCTCCCTTCTACTGGTATTGACATTAATGGCATGTGCCAGTGAGCACAAATGCTTAAATCCAACATCAGACCTGGGTTCAAATTCCAGTTCCAGGTGCCCAGCTTCAATGGCCATGTGACCTCACCCTATGGAGAAGAGCTGCCACGCCACTTTACTCAATACCCTTACAACTTCTCATAGGGTGTCTTTTCCCACCAGATTCTTGTTTTGTTTTGAAAACAACCATTGGCCAAAATAGATAGCATCATCTCTTCTTTCCTATACTTAGATGAACTATTTTATGTTAGCCTAATTCATTTTGAAATCACCAGGACAATATTTCTACATAGCAAATTCAAGCATTTCCTATTTTAAAGAAGTTAGATGTAATATTCTACCATTTAGAATATTGTAGGTAATTAAAATTACCTTTATTAAGTTTATTAAATTTAAGTAGGTCTCATTACCTTTATTTAAATTTATTAAATTTAAGTAGGTCTCATTCCTATTTTAAAATTTTATCATAGGAAAATTTTACCAACTGCCCTTTAAGCATCTCCTTTAGTTTACGGATATGGTGAATTATGTTGATTTCCTATTATTGAACCATTCTTGCATTCCTAAAATGCACTCCATTTGGTCAGAGGATATTATTCATTTGATATACTGCTGCATTCCATTTGCTATATTGCACCTGTACTAGGACTTGACATAGATCTATAATTTTTGGACTATTGTTATCAGGTTTCAGTTTTATGATTTACGTGTATGACTACGTCAACTTCCAAAAATAAACTGAAGAGTTTTGTTATGTGAAATTGGACAAGACATGTAAGGTTTCTGTGCCTTTTCTCTGAAAATGAGGGTAATAATACTTACCTTGAAGGATGGTTAAAAAGATTGTAAGTAGTATGTGTAAGGCACATACACAAGGTATCCAGCACATAACAGATACTCAATAAATGGTAAGTGAGGGGCAAGGGACATCAGTTTTGTTTGTCACTCTGAAAGAGGAACTTTGCATCTTGCTTCATACTACAGAATCTGGCAATTGGTTGGGCTTCCTTCAAAAGGTAAGATGAGTTGGTAACCTAGCAACTAAGTCAAATTCAAGCTCTCTCTCTCTCTCCCTCTCTCTCACACACACACACACATAAATATTGCAAGACATAGAATAAGATGGTGCCATGTATCTCAGTTCCATGTGACTCAGGAAGTGTACCCAAAGAGGCCCCTGAGGTACACTCTGGGCCTGCTTGTGGCTTTTTCCATTTAACCTTTTAAATGATCTGAGGTCAATAAGCAGCAAAAGATGAGGCCATTGCATATAAACCCATTTAGTCACCAAGCATACTGCTGATGAGAAACACATGTCTCTTAAAGGTAGTAATATATACAGTATTTACACAAGGAGACTCAGCTGCCTCTGCAGATCTGCCCATTATAAACTCCATAGCATTTCATTTGTGCCATTTCTTATGCCAATCATCACTATTTTCCCTAGTCACAGAAACTCAAGGTCTTACTGGTCACTTGGCCTACCTAACCATCTATCCAGTTGTCTTTTCCCACTAACGCTCTAGAAACCTGTTTTGGGACAACTTCAGGATGGGCATCTCATCCTCAAAGCAGGCATCTCTCCTGGAAGGCCTTCCTTCCAGACAGTTTTGTATTGTTTTCATGTTGACATCAACAACTCCACTCATCTGTTGCCATGCACCTACTAAAAAGCCTATGTATTGAGTGGGTGATGAATGAAACAGAAACACCTTGTAGGAAAGGCAAGTAGCGGGGTGGAGGTGAGCTTGTAGTAACTGATCCATCCATCCACGTTAATCTCATACTAATGGCTCTTAAAACCTACAAAGTCAAACCCAAGCAAAAAAGTTCCCTCTATCTTCTTCCCCAACACCATAGGGAGCAATAATTTTTGGAGCAAATCCTTTTGCAAGAACAGAGATTCTCAAAGTGTAATCCCTAGACCAGTAGCATCAATATCACCTTGGAACTTGTTACAGAAGCAAATTCTCAGGCTCCACACAGACCTGCTGAATCAGAAGCCCTGAGGGTGGGACCTAGCCATGTGTGGCTTAAACCAGGGGATATGGGTGACTTTGATGTACCCCAAAGTTTGAGAAGACTGAATCTAAGTATGCCTGACTCCACCCACCCTGTATCCACCTGCCCTCCTGGTGGTGGGAAGGGTGGTTTAACAGGAGAAACAGTGGACTCAGCTTGAGACTTGTGATTGGTCATTAGAAGATCCAGAACCAGACAGAACAGGGAGGTCCTGGAAACCAGACTCCTTTATGAAAGTCCTCAGGACGGCGCTTCATCTTTGGCTGCCCTCTTGAACAATGTCATTTCCTCATCACTAGATGTTCAACAAAATGTTTATTAAACACCTAACATATGCCCAGGCCTGTGACACCAGAAGGACAAAGATAAACAAGCCCCAGATTCCTCCCTCAAGGAGTCACAGTCTCACTGAGGAAACTCACCAGTAAGCAAAGAAAGGGAAGGAGATGTGGCTGTAGGAGCAGGTGGGGCCAAGAGGAGACACAAGAGTAGCTGGCAGCAGATGGCTTGAGCTGGGAGATACAGTTTGCCAGAGAAGGAGGCCCTGAGCTGCGGTGTGTGAGGTGAGCAAGACTTCAGCAATGGACCAAGGAATCCAGGGCATGCCAGGCCTCAGAGCACATCTACCCAGCACCACAGTGGGGGCTTCAAGAAGTTCCAGAGAGATGGAGCAAAGGAAAGGTTGAGGCGGGTGTGAGGGAGGCTAACAAGAGAGAAAATGGGGGCCTGGGAGAATTATACCAAGAGAACCAACTTCATCAGACTCACATGTTAGAATACTGCATAAAATGACAGGGCAGAAGGCAAATTTGAAGGCTATTTTCATCACCTATGGGTGCAACAACAAGAACTGCTGAGTGGAGAGGAGTTAAAGAGAGAGGATCTGGTGGAAACGGGATGTGTGTGCGTGTGTGTAAGAAAGCTGGGAAGAGCCAGGAAAGACTAGCCTGGCCTCATCTGTCAGCAGGTCCTTCCTCCTTCCTGCCATCTGGCCTTTTAATTTCTTAAACAGTTTTCTCCCCATGCCAGAGCCTTCATACATGGTCTTCCCTCTACCTAGCATGTCTCCCATCCCCAGTTTGCCTAATGAACACCTAATCATCCTTTGGATCTAAGTTTCAAAATCCTTTCCCAGGGAAGACTTTACAATCAAAATCAGGACCTGGGTTTCTACTTTCCCAGGACTGATCCTTCAATACAGATCTCTTCCACCAACAGCAAGCAAGGCAGGCCCTGTGTGTCCACACACATTACATCCCCAGTGACCAGCTCAGGGCACGACTTATGACAGGTATTTGATGTCAGCTAAGGAAATCAAGGAAGATGCCCAGGTCCCTGATTTGGGTGACTGACTAGAAGGATGCAGGGGTTAAAAAAAACAGATTTGACAAAGGAAGTGAGTTCAGTCCAGTGTTGCCTTTAGTCTCCCAGAGTTTGAGAAAGAGATGTGGACTAGGGAGTTGGCAGGGTGGCACTGGAAGTTATGGGTATGGAAAGTTGAGTCAAGGAAGAGGGTGGTCATAGAGCAGAACGTGGAAGAAACCAGTATCTTAGACTACTGGACAAAGAGAAATGGATTCTTTTTGTGATTTGCTAAGAAAGACATAAAAGTGAGCAACATAAGCCAAAGGAGGAAGGTTTTGGACAACAACAACAATGGTGCTAGCAGTCACAGCTCTGCCCCCCAATTACTGAGTGGCCGCCATATGCCAGGATACTTCCAAGTGTGTTAAGCAAACACCCAGCAACCTAAATCCCCATCTTAAAGACGAGTAGACTTGGTCCCAGAGACACAATGGTGTGAGATGTCTAAGAAGGACCAAGAGGGATGGGGACAAAGAGACCACTGCATGTTCC